CAAGGACTTTTGTTCTTCATGCTTGAAGTCAAAACCATCATTTGGTCTTTCTTGCAGCATTTAGATGTATTTGTATTCACTGAGGAAAGATGCATCTATTAAGGAAACTCATTTCTCATGCAAGCTGCAGCAGGACAGGAGTTTGGGATTTCTAATATAACTTTAAAAGACTGGATATTTTGAATTCAGGGTTTGATGTATTCCTTCGAGCAATTACCTTGTCGTTTGCACAAATCATTTTAGCATGCGCTTCATTTAAACTCTGCAGACTGACTCACTTCAAAAATATATTTTTGTCTGCAATCACACTTCACTGAAGAATTTATACGGATTAAATCAAGTCTTTTTGGCAATTCATCGTTGATATCTCATGCTGCCAGTAAGCGCTTGGATTTGATAAAGTTTGTCAAATCTTTATTCTTTGGAGTTGCTTCGTCAATATTTTTTTGCCTGGGTGTCAGGAAACTTGGGTGGTAAAAATCATATTTTGACAGTTAAGGGAGCAAGTGCTGCAATGTTCAAGAACCGGCCGGCAAGAGTAATTTAAAAGTGCATCTACCTTCAGTTTTTATGAACCTCACAGTTGTAGCCAGGCAATTTATTCTAGAGAGCTGACAACTCAGCTTCCCTGCTCAATAGCAGGAAGGAGCCAGAGAAGAAGCCCTTCAGCCTTATTTGCACATCAAGAGAGGTGTGCAGGTTAAGGCTCAGGCACCGCTCTGCGTGATGTGCGGCACAGCAAGAGAAAGACCAAAAAGATGATTAGAAGAAAACGAGGAACGCACAGGCCTGTAAAGAGTACAGTAAGGCTAAACATCACCCATGCACTTTCAATCGGGGGAGGAAATCTGTTCCTTAACTGAGATGAGCACAGTAACCACTCTGGATGGCGATTAAAGATTTGTGTCTTTAGAATGTCTGTGTCTAACTTCCAGTTTACACCTGGTATCAAGATGCGTTTTGGTAGATTGAATCACGTGTAGACATGGGGGACACATTCCCATTCACCCCTGGCTTTTTCATCCATCTCTTTTGCCCACTTTCGACCACTTTCCTGATTTCTTTGAGGGGAGGGTGTATATGGGATTTTTCTGAATTCTCAGTCTAATGCTGTGAAATAAGCTTGCACAATTTACTTATGAATGTAAAAGGAGACAACGGAAAATGATACGGAGAGCAGCAGATTTCGTTTCTGCTCTGATAGCGGCAAAACTACACTGTAAAAAAAATCCGTAAAATTTACGGTAGAAAACCGGCAGCTGTGGTTGCCGGAATTTTACCGTAAAAAATACGGTAGCAACGTTTTAGGTTTTACGGTTTTAACTTAAATTTACAGTTAAATACCGTAATTTCATTAACTGATAAAATTTTATTATATACCAACCTATTGAAGTACTAAAATCTGTTTTGTACCTTTGTAATACACTGATAACCACCAAATGCAGGTGGTGATGAGAAAGTCACACGATGAACCAAAGCCTATCACAAGCAGCTTTTAAATAATAACATATATAGAAGGTGCACAGTGTCATTCACACAAACACCAAACACCATCATGGTAACACACATGAAACTGAAATAATGCAATAAACATTAATTTAACAACATTAGGTGTAACACACAACCCAAATATACAAAACTGATAAGAAAAAACTAAAAAGAAACATAGTTATTTCAACAAAAAAACATCAAATTTGAAATGTAACGCAGGGAATTCTGGGAATGTCAATTTACGGTTATTCAATGAAAATTATACGGTCTTTTTCACTTCCAAAAACAGTATACTACCGTAAAATTAATGTCCAATACATGTAATGTCCAATACAGTTTTTCACCGTATATAGTAGGGGAATTTACCGTTAACCATTTAACAGGATTTTACTGTAGCATTTTTACAGTCTTTTACCGTTAAATTAACGGTCATTTTTTACAGTGTATGCCGGGTAATCAGGAATGGTAAGAGAACATTGTGCTTTTTGCAACCCAGGCTCATTGGAAATACATGCTTGTGGCGATGTTTCTGCAACACCGATATTTTGTACCTAAGTTTCAAAGTGAAATATCCAGTGAGTGGCGCTAAAACGCGCATTCAATACGTGACTGTGGCCGTGTTTTTATTACGTTGGTACAGGAATGTATTGCTGCGTTCTACGTTAATTACGTTGCTTCGGGTACGTATTATGATGGTTCAGAATTCAAATGTCCGAGGAGTGTTGCTAAAAGTTTAATGCTCTATCGTGTTGGAAAATCACACACACCCTACACCAAACCCAACCTTAAACCTATATTGTTAATGAAAGCAAAAGTGATATAAATGTATCAGTTTTCTAATCTCGCAGCATGTTAAAACCGTTTTGAAGTCATAATATTGTGCAAGGAATTGTGTGAAATTTAGGCTTTTTTAGTCGAAACTCTGGCCTTGTAAATCATACTTTGTGTAAAAAGGATTCATTTCAACTGAAAACTGCAGTGATTTGTACGTATAGTATGAATTTTGAATTTTGCAGTAATGTAGGTAGAGGCACATATTTCCAATGAGCCTGGGTAGGCTTTTAACATTTCAAACCAAACTTAAGATTTCAGCTGGCAAAGTTTAAATCCCATCTGGCTAGAACGCTTCAAGAACACATCCCATAATGTTTAAGAATCAGATCAGTAGGCATAGAGGAAGCACTCTTTTGTGCCTGTTCAAATGCATTTGACCACATTAATGTTTATGAAAGCAATACAGTCAAATGCATTTTAGAAATGGTCGAATGTGGACAAGCTCACAATATTACAGACCCCATTTACAACTGTATTTAGCATTGTCACCTTGTGATCGACAAAAACACAACCTAACGCAAGAAACAGGGTCTAAGTCCAAATAAATCGCTGTAGGCTATATGTCATACACAGCAATCTGCAGTGAGGAAAAGAGATGAGGTCAATGATTTTCAATGAGAGTTGCTGTTTTCTGGTGACATAAGTCTGCAATTCAACAAAGCTAAGATGTTTCACTTTATGCAAATTAATAGTGAGCAATAGGAGCAAAGACCATGGAGATCATGTGATCAGGATGCTAATATTAAATAATTTTATGATTTTGATTCCTCTTAACGATTCCATTTCCTTAACAGTTTCATTTAGTACTTTAAAGGAATAAAGGAAAAGAAAAGAAAATGCTAATTTCTTGAAAAAAAAATCAATGCTTTCAATAATTAGTTAAGCTGTAAAGGGTACTGAATGAAAAAAATTTAACTAAATATTCTTCTTCTTTTTTTTTTTTTTACCAACAATACATCTAATTTGTGAGATTGTACACAGACCACCAACATTATTAACACCAAGTCCTTACTGGACACCTGATGCCACAAGACGTGATAAAAATCCTAATCAGCCAAGTTGGCTATTCGTGACAAGCACCAGGAGATTCAGTTTCTGGAATGCTTTCTATTTCTGCAACATTACGGCTGACAGCTGATTGCATTTTATGTAATATTAAAATCCTTTCATTTTAGTTTGAATATCATTGTGCATGACTTTAATAGCCATAAAGAACGTAACAAATCATAATTTACCAGATATCATGAAAATAAATTAAGACAATATTAGGAAATATTGTTTCAATCACTGTGTTTTGAATTTTTATGTAATTTAAGTATTTACTTCCATTTCATTGCGAGTGTGAGACAGCAGTGTGCTGGCAGAGAGCCCACCCACACTCTCTTCTGACTGGCTCTGATTAGTGATTGATTTTGTTGCATCCTGTAGCCGTGTCGTGTCTGGTACGGACATAAAAATTGCTTGTCGTTGGAATCTTATTGCATCCCGTCTGGTTTTGAAGAGACAGTAATGCCTACTAGCGAAGAACAGTACAGCAACCTGGTGACCTCAAAAACACTGTCAGTGTTGAGAAGGGCATAAGAAATTCTCTAAGCGAAAAACATTTCTGATCAGCTATTTTCAGACTTTTTGAAACAGACTGCAAACAGTAAGCATGTTTCAACCCAGTATTCAAAACACACTTTTGAATAAAAGATGTACACATTGCATTTGAGAGATCTAGCTTGGTTTAAATTGCATGATGCACGGCACATAACATGTGCCACATGTTTAATTGATGTGCATGTGTCAATGCATTCATTGAGCCCTGCCAGCGTGAAGCTGGTATAAATATTGCAGTTTTATGGCTCATCTGTTGAGATGGAGCCCAGGAAGACACTATGAGGTACAGCCTCGAGATGTGAAATCCATAATCCATTAAATTACAGGAACATTCCTGACTAACCATTGCCATCAGATAATGCAGATGTCAAAATGTGACACGCTGTGCCCCGGCATATATCTAATCTGAACATACAGCAAAAATGAATGGACTGTTGAGACATACCCAAAAGAAAGATAATTTTGTTATCACGGGCAACTCTCACCATTGCGAGGGAGTGAAAGTTGTGAATTCTGTACATCTTGGTCATTAAATTCTAATAATATCATACAGTACTGCATGAATAAACATAACATCATGCATGATTGGTGTTACAGAATCTTTCAAATTACTGAGAGGAAGAAAAATGTCTCAAAACTTTGTAAGGCAGCGTTAAGGTGTTACAAGCACGCTTTAGATGCGAAGACCGTTCCAAATGGTAGGCAGCACTTATTAATTTTTTTCTTCCAGATACCTTCGTTTGGCCAAATTCTAAAGCAGCATCTATGTCACTTCTTCACAGAGAAGCTAATATAATAATGCAACAAGCTCCATTAAAAAATCACTTAAAAGACATTCTAAAAGATTATAACAGTCAATTACAGAAAGTAAAATCAGAAAGTACTGACACAAAACTAATAAACTAAAAAATCAAATATTTTACATGTTGTGTAGTTTTATATTTATTAGAGCATGGAATTGTTAGCAATATTGATAACAGCAAACAAACACTATTTGTAAGCTCCTGTGAAGGCATTATGAAGCTCACTAGATTAAAGAGAGAGAAAAATAGAAGCAGGAAATGCAAACGTACCTGTACTGAGGGGAAGGAATGCCCTTTGCGTCACAGGCCAGTGTTGCCTCTTCCTCTAGTGAGCCCACTGTCAGATCACTGGGCTCCATTCGCCATTTCGGCCCATTGAAAGACTTATAATCCACACACTCTGAGAGCAAACAACAGAATGCAATTACATATTTGTATCTTAATGCACAGTTTAACCTGAAGTGTGTAATTTTTTCAATATTAAAATACTTTTATGCAATAGTTCACCCAATAAATAGCAGAACCATACCTGTTCATTTACTAAGGAGAGACAATTATAATGTAAGCCATACTGTAGGTTTATTCCTTCAAAAGATGTAAACGCTACGGCTTTGTGGTGCTATTAAACCATTGATCTGTTTGTTTGAGTATCCTAAGCAGCCAGAGACAGTGACACCGACTCAGCCAATGGTGTTAGTTTAGCGGCGGGAATAATGCCTGACTAATTTGTTCGACCAAAGGCTGATGGGTTTAAAGTCACCATGAATTCAAGATTGACTAGTCTTATTGTTATGGAAAATTACAGGGTTTATTATAAATGATTTATCTTGGTATTCATTATTATTTTAAAATTTTTTCATAACATTTAATCAAAAACTTCCTGTCCTCCTCTCTTCTCTGATGACAAGTGCACCATTAAGAGGATGACAATGATCCAATCAGTTCCCAATGGACAAAATCAAGCCCCATTTTTATCTCATTCAAAAAGCGGTTTCATTGGATATACATCACAATAGAGAAGCATAGATGAAAGAAAAGAAACCTGTTTGCAATTAATAATTTTTGCAATTCCTTTATGTTACACTTACACTAGTAAAAAGAAAAAATGACACACTTCAGTTTTAAAGTCAGCTTATTTGACCTTAACAAAAGAAAATTCGATAACACTTTATAATAGGCAACGCATATTCACTATTAACTAAGAGTTTTCCCTCAGTAATCTCCTAATTTGCGGCTTATTAATAGTTAGCTAAGGTAGCTGTTATGTTTAGGTATTGTGTCGGGTTAAAATGTGCCTATAAGTACTAATAAACAGCCAATATGCTAGTAATATGCATGCTAATAAGCAACTAGTTAATAGTGAGAATTGGACCTTAAAATAAAGTGTTACTGAAAATTCTACTTGGTATGGTGTTAAAGAAACACTCCACTATTTTTGAAAATAGGCTCATTTTCCAACTCCCCTAGAGTTAAACAGTTGAGTTTTACCGTTTTCGAATCCATTCAGCCGATCTCTGGGTCTGGCGGTAGCACTTTTAGCTGTAGCTTAGCATAGATCATTGAATCTGATTAGACCGCTAGCATCTCGCTCAAAAATGACCAAAGAGTTTCGATATTTTTCCTATTTAAAACTTGACTCTTCTGTAGTTACATCGTGTACTAAGACCGACGGAAAATGAAAAGTTGTGATTTTCTAGGCTGATATGGCTAGGAACTATACTCTCATTCTGGCGTAAAAATCAAGGAACTTTATGATCTATGCTAAGCTACAGCTAAAAGTGCTACCGCCAGACCCAGAGATCGGCTGAATGGATTCGAAAACGGTAAAACTCAACTGTTTAACTCTAGGGGAGTTGGAAAATGAGCCTATTTTCAAAAACAGTGGAGTGTTCCTTTAAATGCATAGTTCATCTGAACATGAAAATTCTGTCAGCATTTGCTGGAACATAAAATAAGATATTTCACAAAACATCACAGTGGCTTTTTGTGCATACAATAGAAGTCAACCAAAACTGTTTGGTTACCAACATTCTTCAAATGATCTTATTTTGTTTTCTGAAGTGGAAAGTCATACAAATTTGGAACAACATGAGGGTGAGTAACTGGTGGCAGATTTTCCATTTTGTGTGAACTATCCATTTAAGAATTTTTAAAAAGCAGTTTGTGGGTAAATATTCTGCAGATGATAGAAGCTGCGCAGTAACATGCATGCATAAAGAGTGCAGAAACGCGGACCATATGTGGTGAGATCACACCAGGTGTGTGGGTTCTAATCAAGTGCTATGCTCGCATCACTCAATTTCTGCTTAAGATGTTATCAAAGCGGCAAATTCACAGGAATCTTCACATTTAAGTGTGACATTTGTTCAGAAAATGGGAACTAAGGCGCTCTCATATGACATTTACATTGTGCACATTGAAGTTATACCTTACAGTAAAGTGTCTTTCTAGTTTTTATCCTCTCCTCAACCTAACTGAAATATGTCGCTATTCAGTTATATGTTACTTTTAAAGGACTAGTTCAACTCAAAATGACAATTCTGTCCAATGACTTTCTTTTTTTTTCTACAGAAGACGAAAGAAGAATTTTTTAAGAATATGTTGGCAATTGAAATAAACGTGCACTGAAGATTTTGAGCTTTAAAAGTACAACAAAAAGAGAAAAAATAGTAACTTGTGTTTGAGGAACAGGCTGAATATGGTTATATATATGCGTGTATATATATATATACTGTATATATATATATATGCATGTGTGTGTACAGAAGAGACTCTAGAATTCTTAGAGAGCACAAAAGACTGTAAAACTTTGACTTTTGTCATTGCTTGTCTCATTGCACAAGCCAATTATGAGCTGTCATCAGATGACTGATGATCTCTTATTAAATAATTTTTCTATTAATTAAAACTAAAGAGTATTTTTTTGTTATGGATGTCCCAATTTGATTTGTAATTTTCAGAGAGTTCAATTAAATGTTCATGTAATATTTTGGTGAGTTAAAATAATATTGTAATATCGATATATCAATCGCAGGTCCCTAAATCGAATCAAATCACAATCAGATCGCAGCATGTTTTGATCAAATATCGTATTGCTGGCTGTTTTTCCCCCCAGAGAATCTGTTTTAGATGGTATCATGATAAAACATCCAATTTTCACCCCTAATAAAACAAATAAATTTTTGAGTTGGATTTTTTTTAATGAATCGGTTCATTCAGTTCACAAAACCAGTTTGAATGATTCATTCACAAATCAAACTGGTCCTCGAGTTCAGCTCACAGACTCAATGATCCCGTCACAGCCGTTAACAGCTCACAGGAGGTGAAGAATGACTCAAATTTCAATCTGTTCCTCACTGAAAGCTATCATATGGCTTCAGAAGACCTGAAATACAACACACGTTGTACAGACCACTTTTATGGCGCATCCTGTTTGAAGCTTGAAAGCCTCAGCGGGGATTCATGGAAAAGAGCAATCAGTAAAAATACTCAAAATATCTTCTTTTGTGCTTTTGGGAAAGAAAGTCAGATTTGGATCGACACGAGGGTGAGTAAATGTTGACAGAAGCATCATTTTTAGGTGAACTATCCCTTTAAGAGCTGAATGTTCTCAGTGAATTCTTATTCACAGAAATAACATCTGTAGGAAGCAGAGCCATAAACTGTGACATACTAGTTCAATTTCCTTGGAGAACACATTGTATCGAAGCCTCCAAAACCTTCTATGACACAACACAATTCATTTTCAAAATGACTGCACAGCTTAATTGAAAGCCCTTCACCACATCCAAAACACGTCCTGTTCCTGTAAGCCTGATTCTGTGCGTCAGGGTCTATTACTGTCTTCCGCTCATAATCAAGATATGGGCTGATAGCAACAAATGCTGCAACAACAACAACCAGGTTGACCACATACATAATGCTTCACTGAACAAGAGGATGCTTTTTGTGGAGCACTTGTCATATATATACAGATTTCTCTTTTTTTAACTCCAAGCTTTAGAACATCGTTACAGTCTACCTAAGAAAAGATTAAGTTAAAGTTGATTGAGACATAGTTGTGAATACACCACAAGAGCCACAGAGGGGAGGAATTACCAATTCATTTTACCTGCAAGATACTCCATGATTGATAGCAGCAAAAACTGTTTCCATAGTAACGTCATCTTCAGCTGCCAGGGGCGAGTGCTACTTGAATTCAGTGCGCCGTGAATGAACGGCTGCTCTCTCAAGAGAAAACCACCTGACCTGTTGAAGACCAAATTATGAGAAATTAGAAATACTTTGTTATAGGTAGTTCAGTCTGTTTTTCTCAGTTAACGTTCTCAGTTTAACAGTTTTTTTTTTCATTAGTTTTTATGCAAAAGAAAGCCATGAGGTAATGAGCGGTGGCTGCTGTGTGCTTACAATACGCATTATGGGGCGAAATTATCACAGCGCTAATGCAGCTAATGTGGCTTAAAAGATCACAAGTGAGATCACTTGAATTCAGAACAATACTCTTTTCCGTGATGCAAATTGATATTGATTGGCTGGAGGAACTAAAGTAGATTTTCACAATTAAAAAAAGCCTATAATCAACAATATAATCAAATAGGTCTGCAGATTTATGCAAAATGTGAATGCTTTTCACTTAAAATGTAATTTAATCATCTATATACACAATTAGTAAGCACCCATATAAACAATATGAACACAAAAAAGCATTTTAGCTTAATGTGGTTTAATACATTAATGCCCGGTTGCACAGACAAGGCTTAAACCCAGTCCCAGACTAAAATGCATGTTTGAGCTGTCTTAACTGAAAGCAATTTGCACTGACATGTCTTAAAATATGTCAGTGCTACTGATTTGTATCAAGATGCACATCAATAATGTTTTCTAAGGCACATTCCAAAAAAAAAAAAACTACTTGAATGTCCTAATTTAAGATTATTTGAGGCCTATAATCCTGGCTTAATAAAAACCCTGTCTGTGAAACCAGGCCTAAAACAATAATATTGAAGGGTCAAACCCAGTATACACATTATTAATACTATGCATAGGCAAGCAGATGAACCCACAATATGAACACAATGCGTGACTTCTGAATTCTGATATTCTCACTATTATAAAGGAAACGCTTAAGGTGTAATTTAGCTCAGGGCTCATCTGCATGCCTTTATTTAGTACGCATAAACATACGGTGTATATTTAATTTGATCTTTTAGTATGACTGTTTTATTACATTAAAACATGTCAAGTGTTTTGAATTGTCCCACGGTTTTGTGGTCTGCATGAGATTCAAATGATGCGTGTAGCAGCAGTTTGTTTCTGATTGAATTGGTTCAGTTAATGATTCAATGACTCTTAAAGACAACCTATTCTCGCTACCTGCTGGAGGAACAATGTAACCTGCAGAAACAGTCAGACAAATTCCAAATATGTGAAAGAAACAGAGAAAACACGTTTTTTTAAAAACACTAAACCAGTATTTTAATCAGAAAAGTGTATTGCTCATGATGTCAAAGCATATGAAGCCACCTCACTGTCATATTGCTATTCCCACATATTGCACGTATTGAATCAATGGGAAATCATCTGATTTTAATGAAAAAACATTACCTACTGAGTCACCGTTTTATATCTGAAATCTCCATGCATATAAACTGTAAATGATTCAACAATGACACCATTTTTGTTAACAGCATGCATTTTAAAGCCATTATGATAACAACTTCAACGTTTATTAAACTGACACTTGATTCAACAATATACACATACACACTTCATTCCTATGCAAACTGTAATGCTAGCAAAAAGCCATAGAATTTGCACTGTCCTGTAGCATTTTAACTGTCCTTGTTTCCAAGAGACTGAAGTGGATGTTGGTTAATAAAAAGTCATCATAAAATACATGCATCACAACTTATTCAGAGTAATAAAGCTGACTGCATTTGGACATTAAGCTTTATTTCCAAGCATTTATAATGTCTCTCTGAGCAAGATGTTGCATTGGTAAACTTTTAATTTAAAACAACATATGTATTATGCATCTTATGCAAGCATTTGCTCACCAATGCTATAGGGAAGCAATCCATTTACCATAAAATTACTGCAGAAAATGTTAAAAAGTCTGAAGATTCAGTCTGGTTAAAGGGAAAATTATGTCCTAACCTATGCCAGTTGGCCATCACCTTTTGGATGAGTCAGGATGTACACATTACAAATGTGATGGTGTGCAGGGTGTGCTTGTTTTTTAAAAATGACACACTATTCACAACAGCCAGTGAGTTATGGGGTTTGGATGGTGTTCAGTCGATTATTTTCTGCAATGCCAATCTGCCAAGCAACATTTGAAATCAATTTATGGAGCCAAAGACAGTGAAAAAGGACAGAGGGAAGGATGTAGTACTGCTGATGTGAGAACAGAGAGATTTCAAAACACTGGATCTCAACTGGTTTTGCTTTTTGATTTTACACTGGGCATCAAACTGCAATCCAACATAGAACCAAACAACATACATTTATTAATAAAACAACATACATGTATTATATTGTTAATAAGAACAATATTACCATTCAAAATTTTGGGTAAGAGTTGGTATGATTTTTTAAATGTTTTTGTGAAAGATCAAAAATACAATAACAATGTAATATTGTGAAATATTAAGTTTTCTATTTGAATATATTTTAAAATGTAATTTATTCCTGCGATAAAATCTGAACTTTCAGCATCATTACTGCAGTTTTCAGTGTCTCATGATCATGGGTGTGAAGTAACGAATTACAAATACTCACGTTACAGTATTTTACTCTACTCACACTACATTTTTTGGAAGGTAATGGTACTTTTACTTGAGTATATTTTTTCAGTACTCTTTCCACCACTGCTCATGATGCTTCAGAAATCATTCTAATATGCTGATTTGCTGCTTAAGAAACATTTTTATCATTATCAATTTTATAAAAAAACATTTTGCTGCTTAATATTTTTCAGGATTATTTGATGAAGAGAAATAAAGCATATAAAGCATTCATTTGAAATAATTTTTGTAACAACATAAAAAGCCTTTACTGTAACTTTTGAGCATTTTAATTTGTCATTGCTGTTTTTCATTCAAAATAAATAAATAAATACACACCGACTGTATATACAATTCATATGAATTAAATATGAAATGTTCATATTAATAAATTTACATTTTTACATTTAGCATGTACTGTATTAATTGTTACGCTATGGAAAATATGGTTAGTATTTGGTTACTATCTCCTCAATTCTGATTATTTATTTTTTTTATTTTCTCAGAAGCAAATAATTTACTGCACAAAACATTTCTGGATGGCACCAAGTCATGTTTATCCTAGCTGCACTGCATATTTAATGTTATGCTGGTCATATTTACTGAACCTTGTGTAGTTTTGTCCGTGCTTTTCAAGGATAAGAGCATGTCAGACAATCTGTCCATGTTGGCATCTGCCTAATCTGACTAGTTTCTACCAAACGGCAGATTAATTTGCGCCCACATACCGCAGAGTTTGATCAGAATAGACCTGTGACCCATTTTTTGGGCTGCGGCCCACCAGTTAAGAACCTCTGCTGTAAGACGCTCAACGTCAGTTTCTCATAATACACTTCAGAGAAGCGCTTCACACAATTCACTGACACACAAAACACACACGCTCGTACAAAGCCGAGAAATATCCAGGCCACTGAAGACTTATAAGGGCACTCCAAGAATGATAATTATTGCCATCTCATGTAGCTGCCGGAGCGTGGGGCCTCAGGAAGGATTCCCCTCATCTTTCAAGTTTTAGGCTGATTTTAGCAGGAGTAAGTGTGTAAAATGGGATTTATATAGTCTGGATTTTGTGTGAAGAACACTGCATGTCATGTTCCTTCTTGCTAAGCAGTCTTGAAGTGAAATCCTCAACGGCAGTGAGCCTATGAGACCTTCTCATCACACTGAACCGTCTAGTTCATTCCCATTAATGAAAAGTGTGCGCTGTGTAATTAGGGGCTCTGTTATTTGCAGCCTAATTGAATGCCTTTTAATACAAACAATTCAACATCCCTCCAAATAAAACACCCTGAAGATGTAAAGCCGCATCAATAATGCTTAATGTTCGAACTCTCTGAAGCGAAGGCTGCTTCAAAGAGTCATCTCCACTCCATTACAAACAACTCACTGATTCCTTGATTATGTTTGCTTGTTCCTTGACTAAACATAATTACGCGTCAATACAAAAACACTCTTTTGAATGTACAGTATATGCGTCCAGATTAGTGCGAGTTTCATTAACGAAAACTGTCGAAAAATGTTTGTTGACCACCTTTTTCGCGACTAAAACGAGACAACAATGAGACGACCCCAACATCATTAAAACATTAACTGTGACTATGTTATGGACGAAAAAGACAATGTAGTTTCAAAAATAAAACTTTAAAACAATTCAATAAAACAAAAAAAGTGATGTTTTCTTCATCAAATAGAGGAAAGAAAATGAAATAGACTGTTTTTAACAAGCCTCCATAAGTTTTCATGCTAAAGATTGCCAGATGTCAAGAGATTAAATCCCCCAATCAGAGCTTTTCTCTTAAAAATACATTTTCTATGGAATTATTTTTTATCCTGTGACAAAACAAGCTTACATAATTCCTGCCCCGTGAATGACTTAATCTTCACAACCTGGCAACCATGAGAACATTGTGTTCCTTCACATGGCTGCTGTGACTAAATCTGCAATCAAACCTTCTCAGTGATGAATAAATCCACACATGGATCTTGGCTATATTGTTTGCGATCTTGGTTGCTGCATAAATGCACTTACGAATCAAAGTCTGTTTCTGCCACAAAATTAAAAATTAAAAAAAGATAATTGCAACATTGTGTTTTTTTCTTTTTTCTTAAAATTCTGAGTTAACATCTCCCGATTCTGAGTTAATTGCGATATATTATCAGACTTGCAAGGCATAAACTCATAATCTAAGAAAAAAGTCAGAATTGCGAGAAAGAAGTCTGAATTGTGAGATAAAAAGTTGCAATTATCTTTTTAATTATATTTTATCCAGACACAAGCTTCCATACTCACACAACTTTTGTAAGAAATTAACAATAGAAAAGTCTTTTAATTGTTGTTTTAATAGAAAAACATCAGTCATGATTACAATTTTGAGCAAAATAATTGTGATTATCAGTTTAACTATTCAGCATGACTAAAATATGACAACGTTTTCATTGATTAAAACTAGCCTAAAATTCCCA